TTTGTCTCATTTGGCAATTATGAGAGTGAGTGAGGTCCACACTCATTTTTGTTCTCAAATCCTTTACTCCAGCCCACACCAACCCCTGTTGTGCGGCCTACTCTTGTCAAATGTGAAGCTTAAAAATGTGGGGTGGCCCCCACTCATGTGGGAGGTCATCCCTTGGTGTCCCAAAGTGTACACTCGGCCCCGAAATTTGTATTTTTCGGACTCTTAATTATATTTTATTTTATCGGGTCAAATAAAATACTCCCTCCGGTTCCTATTAAAGTTCCCAGTTTGACTTCACACAGATTAAGAAAATAAATTTGGCTTTACTGTGGAGTGCACTGTTTGGCACTGTTTGGACACTGTTTGACACTGTTTGGCACTGTTTTGCACTGTTTTATTTCCTATAATGGAAGTGTGAACTTAAATAAGGGACATCCCTAAAAGGAAAGTGAGAACTTTAATACGAACCGCAGGGAGTATAACACATGTTCCTAATCATTATAGGCATTTAGAATGAATGTACATTCCCCAACTTAAATTTAGAAGTCTCTGAAATCCGTTTCAGACTGTTATTTGATAAATTACCAATACCGGCAATTGGGCCTCGTTTGACCAGCGGGTCAACTCTATGCCGTTTCTATGGCCCAAATAAAATATCCACCACCATATACATATTATCTAAACCAAGATAATCCCGCAATTATCGGGTGCCCCCGTTCCCGGTGTGGGCCCCGCGTGCAATTTACTATTCACGCAAAAGAATTAATAAAAATCTACAACCACGTAAATTCATAAATCATCCTTCAAGGTTTATTACATAAATTACTAAAAAGTAAATACACTTGGGGACGGTGTTACAGTTTCATAATCCATCCTCTAATGTTTAGAAGCTTTAAAAATTTGATCTCCAAAATGGCTCCCAAGAAAGTTTCTAAGATTATTTGGAGTTCACAAATGGGAAGGACCTATTAGAGACATCTAGTCATGGACCCGGGATGGTCTAATCCGGTCCCGATTCTGAAATAGTGAGGCTCGGTACCAACCCAGTTTGGTCGGGTACCGTTTCCGAACTTGCTACCCAAGCAAGTCACAGGTACCACACCCTCTATTTAATAAAACATGGGAAAATGACTGTTGGGACCAGAACCGGCTGCTCCGATCCCAAATATTGAAGCCCGAGCCCATCACGCTAAGCGAGTCCGATTACTAGGCCGATACCAATACCGGAAAATAGAGCCGGTCCCAAAGAGTACCGGGTTGGGCCACCCGGATCCAGTCCAAGACTAGAGACAACCATGTTGTATGAAGTAAAGAAAGAGATTACGATACTCATTACTCAATCAATGATTCGGAAAAATGGATTAAAAATTAAAAATACTAATGTTGTAACAATATTTTTCAGGTTTTACATTCAAACTTTGAAACACTTCGCTCTTTAGGGATCCATTATACAATTCACACCTACAAGTCTACAATGTATATCCTAAGTGTTGGTCTAAAATAGGACGCTCGTAGGCTTTTAGGAAAGCTACGTTCGACACTCAAGCAGGAATTACGAAAGTAGTACGAGAATGGAAAGTGCTCAAGAGGTTTTAGTTGTCAAGAATAACATCTCAAAATTGTTCCCCTAATTTGAATTACAATCCGCCTTTTATAGGCGTATACAAATCGTAACTGCTACCGATAATAATGACTAATTAATTACAACATTAATACGAAATTAAATACATAATTAAACAACGCATTAATTGCTTGACTGTTACTCTTCCTGACTGTCATGTCGGCCGGGCTGGCAGGCTCCCGGCTGGGCTGATAGGCAGACTCCAGGTTGTGGGCTTGGGACCCACGGTCCATGTTCAGGGTTTGGGCCGATTAGGCTCTAGTTCTAGTTCCATAACTCCATCACGCGTCCCCCACTCCCTTAGTCGAGTAGTAGACTCGGCTAGTAAACTCCATCATTAAAAACCGTCATTAGAAAAAAAATCAACGGGAAAACATCCTAATGAAGGGAAAAAGAGTACACCTGATGCCCCCAAGATGAAGTAAGGGGTGAAATCTTCATCCTTTATTGCAATGGTCACCATCTGCGAATAGGATGGCTAGAACTGTTCTTCTCATCGGGCTCAGACTCAAAAGGCTCGTCTTTGTTCAGTCGTACCTACACATAAAAGCAACAAGTGCAGAATAGAGCATTTGACCCGGTGTCAAACCATGGCTCAGTGAGCAAGTGAGTGGGACTCATTATTTGAAAAGAGTGACATCAAGTTCCCATGATAGACCTCAACCCATTCTCCGAAAGAAAGATTGAATTCGCGAGTAAGTGAGTCGGACTCACCACTCGAACGAATAACCCAGTCCCAAAGAACTAAAGTATATCAACCTTTTTGGGAAATGTGAATGCCAATTATGTGACAAAGTTGCTTGGAAGAGCGTGTCTCTAGGCCCCTAACAAGAGTTTAACTCGCCGCCCGAGGTTAATAATTCGAACCGGCAAGTAAAAACTTTTGAACGGGTGACTCGTCCACCGAGGTCAGAGTGTGATGCACTAGGAAGAGGTAAGAGCATGCAAGAACTCGTATGAAGTCAAGAGTGTGCGGTATTAACATTATATTGAAGCTTATTAATCGTCACACCCATATGACGTGACCCGGTGGTGCGAGTGTGTGTGTTTGGCCAGTGTACGAGTGTGTATGCTCGTCCGGCGTACTTGAGTAACCAGATTTCATAAGTCTGTTGTTCAATTTTAAAATTGCACACACTTAACAAGAGTAAAAGCAATCACATCACTTAAAATATCTTTTCAAATGTTTAAATTTATGATTTTTTTAAATCATATATGTCCACATATATTAATTTTATAGAGAGTGTTATAGCAGCGGCCGTCTCCCCTAGATTTAGGGGTTGTTTTCTCCACTTTTGTCTTTGATGAAGTGTGGCTTTCTTCCACCATTCGTGAGGTTTCTTCTTCGGCAGGCCACACTGCCTATATGGCGGTCAAAGGTTGTGCACCCCTGACAACAGGTGGAGAGTTTCGAGGATGTCGTTCATGGTTGAGATCAAAAGGTCATGGACGAAGCGTGAAGCTAGGGGCTGAAACAGATCTTGATTCGAGGGCATCCGTGTTAGGTGGCGACAAAGAAGACTTGATAGAGATCATGATGAATAAGAGGCAAAGAGAGGAAGAAGCTACAGTACTGTTGGACCGTCCCCCTCCTGAGCCGCCACCATGGAGTGCAGGAGAGTCTAGGGTTTGGAAGCATCATTTTAATTTTACTGTTTGCTTGTTATTTATTTTTCATGATCAGACTATTTATTTTTCTATTGGTTACTTTTATTGTTCTAAGACTCTTGCATTAGGATTGGGTGATGAGAGGTCTGCTTTAACCGTCATTGGCTCATTTAAGCCCATTATAGGATCAGCGAGTCATATTGCTTATTTGAAGCTGATTAATTCTAAGTTTGGTTCGAGGACTGGCGATTTCTTGTGGTCTTTTTGTTGTTTTACACCTATATGAATGTTGTGATATCAATTTAAGCCCCCTTCTTCCAAAAATTTTATAAAGAGTGTTTTGAAGCACTTAGCTTTAGTAGGCTTGGTTGTGCATGAAAAATGTGATTCGGCCCACTATTCCATATGTGCACACCTCAGCATCGCGAGGATGGCGACTCATACTTTGGACCAGGTCAGGATACCTTCCCTTCACACATCCACCTGTTCACACCTCAGCATCGTGAGGATGGTGGGGGTGGCGACAGCCATAGCAGAGCGTGGTGGTTCTACGAGGACAGCTGGTCGGCGAGGATAGTCTCTCCTTCCCATTCAGAGCTTTGAACGGCCATTAATGACGGTGATTGAGGTTGAGCCCTAAGGTATACGACTTTCGGGTTTGTAAATGCGGCTTGGACTTTCATGGAGCTGCGATGGAGACCAGCGCGGCGGAGGAGTGGCCTTTGAGAGCGTGGAGACGGTCATTGTGACTATGATGGAGGTGAAGGAGCGAGCTGGGTTGCTGAACTTAGTTTTGACAAAGCTTTGGCTCTTTCTCCGATATAATACAATGATGACATCTGCAACTATGGCAAGATCCGGAACGGGGGCATGGAGGTCAAAAGCAACGGTGGCGGATTCCTCACACCGGTGGCAATATTAGATTTTTGCATTCCCTTTCCAGATTTTTAATCACATATCTGAAAAACTGCCAGAAACCTTTGATCTTTGCTTTTTTTTGGAAATTTCTTGATTAATTCTTACTAAAGTCATGTGAGAGACAATAGAGACTCAATGAAAGCATCAATGTTGATCCAAAATAAGACGCTGGTAGGTTTTTAGGAAAACTACTTTCGACACTCAAACAGGAATTAGAAAAGTAGTGCGAGAATGGAAAGTGCTCAAGAGGTTTTAGTTGCCAAGCATAGCATCTCAAAATTGCTTCCCTAATTTGAATTACAACCTGCCTTTTACAGGCGCATACAAATCGTAACCGCTAGTCCGCTAACAATATTAATGACTAATTGATTACAACATTAATACGAAATTAAATACATAATTAAACAACACATTAATTGCTTGACCGTTAGTCTTTCTGACTATCAAATCAGCCGAGCTAACAGGCTCCTGGCTGGGTTGATAGGCAAACTCCAGGTTGTAGACTTGGGACCCACGGTCCAAGTTCGAGGTTTGGACTGATTAGACTGCACCTAGTTCCATAACTCCATCAATAAGCAAAAACATTTCCACAAATTAAAAATAGCCCGTTGAAATGCTTCTATCTTGTTATCTACATTTCAAAGCCGATTAATTTTCATTTATCATTCTTCTTCAAGAATTGATCCATTTATTGCAAGAGTAAGTAAGGTTTTCACGCTCAACGGTTTGCGTTTTAGATTAAGGACTTTGGTTGAGTAACTAATCACAGATAATCAAACCCATTAGATGAAATTAAAGCAAAATATTAGATCGCTAGTAATAAGTGATCTCATAGACCACAAATTAAAAATAGCCCATTAGATCACAGATAATCAAACCCATTAGATTAAGAGTAACAATTAACGAAGAAATAACAATACATTCATAAAACTCATATTCCGTAAAACACTTAAACACATCAGTTTTAAATTAGTTTGTATCCATGTATATATACAGAGAGAGTACCTCAATTTGAAAACGGAAGTTATTTTTGCAGTGAATTTAAAGAAAACACCTTTACCAATTAATTATTAGATATTTTCCAATTCCGTTTTAAAAAATATATTAAGTAATTTTAGCCCACACCAAATTGGTCGTAACCTGGAGGACCTAAAGAGAGGCAATTGGAGATTTTTGGGCAATGTCATAAACAGAAATGAGGATTTCAGCGCCTATTAGTATGATGATAAGCCATTCCAAGAAATCTGACTTTCTGTTCTGAAGAATCTCCTGAAGGAACCTTATGTTGTGCTGCAAATTAAAATACCCACTCATGAAGAGTACATGTAAGAGCAAAGCATAACACTACTGTAAATGGAAGCCGTAGAATTATCCAGCATTCAGGGTAAGTTACCTCAACAAATTTCAACTTGAAATCAAGGCTGGCGAATCGCTGAGTCAACTCAAATTCATCTCTTAGGTATTCCCATATTTGAGCATATTTGGCATCTTTCCATGCAATGTCTGATCTGTGAAGTTTTCATATAAAAAACATATTTTGATTAAATGGGACATGAAACAATCAAAAGTTAAAGGTAGCTTATGTTGGGTCAAAATCATACTAATAGTTAACTTGAAAGAATATCTTGCATCATTAAATGACAAAATGCAACAAAGACAGCTTATATGTGAAGTTTTTACCTTTCGAAGAGTCCGAGTTTAAGGATAACATCCGCAAGATTAGAATTTGCCTTCCCCACCAACTGGAAAAGCTTTTTACGCTCCATTGTAAAAGTGCCAGTTTTCTCCATTCCTCTATTTATGTCTGTAAACTCTGCAACCATTCCATCAACCTGAAGAAGAGGGAAAAAGTAATAAATCTACGCTGAGAGCTGAATATACTACTCCCTCTCTGTCCCTATATCGTCTACTTGTATTCCCATTGGGATGTTAGTAAGCAATGTCCTATTTCAATATTTTGTAAATAAATAAAAAAACTTATCAATTTACACCACTCCTCAAACAGTATCCATTTCTATTGTAAACTGTAGCTGTACTGTAAAATTTAACACAGAAAAAACATTTCTGGAAGTCAATGCAAAAAAAAAACTGATTTGTTAAGAAACTGTTGAAGTAAAACTAGGAACAAGAGATTAATTTAGTATACTGCCGGATACAACTTACCTGGCGGACATAGTAATCAAGGGCAATACTTTGACCAAGAACACTGCCGATTGTTCGGATGCCATCAATATTCAAATACTGCAACATTATGTAGTCAAGTCCACCTTCCATCCATGTATTTAAACTTGGATTCTCTCTCACCTCATACTCTAGGATATCAAATCAAGAAAAAAAAGTTGAATAGATGGATACAAAGAGAAGTATGTGACTAATGAACTACGATAGCAGCTTTTGAATATAATCTTAATCATGTGGATAAGGAGGAAACTAATCATATGACTCTCACCATCCCTTCTCATCTCTGGTAACAGTCCAGAAGCATGTCTTTCAACGATTTTTAGATACCCATCAACTTCATGTTCACAGACATTAAACAAGACAATTGAACCATAATGAAAAACCACCATATAACAGCAGTCATTTCCACTCATACCAGAACCTAAATCCTATAAGATACATCAAAAACAAAGAATAAGAGGCATGCGAAAAGCTATCATGAGAAAGTAATGTGGGAGATGTATCATGAGAGATAAATATCAGAAGAGGATGATGGTTTAGTGAACTTCCCCAGCAAATCATTATATGCACTAGAGTGGAGAGTAAACTAGATGTTTTTATAATGATGTATACATTCCCCAATGTAAAAAAAACAGAGAAAGAATTAAAAGGTAATTTGTGTATACTAGTTTCTTTCCTCTACCCTCTTATATACTTATATTAGGTAGCTAAAGTTTTAAAAAACCATCATCACTTCTGTTTTCCTAGTTTCCCCTAAATCTTACAAAAATAACTTCTTCACGTGACACTGGATTTATATGCTCTAAACAAATTTGATATTTGATTTGAAAATGAATCCGGATCAGCCAGAGGCCCATAAATACCATAGGTTGAGAGCAGAAGTGATAAAATACTAATTATTAAAAGTTAAAACAAGACAGCCATTACCACACTAATCATCTAGAATCTAGAGTGCTAGAAAAACAAAAGGAAACGTTTCAGATTTTCATACACCAAGAGGGGCTACAAAAGTAATTTCAAATTGAGACCACTTCTCACACCTAACTCAGCATGTTGAATATGGAACATATAAAGAAAATAAACTCACATTTGGATCTGGTTTAGAAGATCCAAACCTCAAAACAACATAATTGGTCATACGGGATGTAGGGGGGATGAAATTCTGCTTGTTCTGATCCATTAGGCTCCTCAAATCCACACTGTCAATGAAAATACAAAAATATGATCATGGACAGTTGAACTAATCATTCATTTTTCCCAAGAAACCCCCATTTACACCATAGAGGTAAATAAAAAAACAATTTATGCTGTTTTGGAACTTTGACCAATGATTAAAAATCAAAACACGATATTACATTTTGTACTAAAAAACTGAAATGTAAGGATAATGTTGCCTTCATCATTCATATATTATTTCCTTCAACTTATTAAAGGCTATCCATTTAGTTAATAGCATCACAAAATTTCTGCTATGTTATTCCTTCACATTAATCCACTATAGCAACACTCCAAAAAAAATGAAACATGCATGTATGATTTCACACTCAACAAATATTATTGATACCTCATGTTTAAAGGGAGTGAAGCGCACCACAGACTTTTATAGATTTTAAAGACTTTTGTAAACTTTCAAAGTTTGATGCTATTCAATTTATACATTTTAAGGAATTATTGAAGAGTCTTTGTAAGTTATTGAGTAATGAATGAATTAAAACAATACACTTTTATATAGTTATCAATAACTCATTAGTGTTCAGAATGCAATCAAATTCTAAAGACTTTCAAAATTTAAACTAAAAAACATCTATGAAATTTGTTCTGGCACTATAAATACACATAATGAATCTAGCAACATTCTTACTTTTGAAATTGTTTATTTGCACATGTATAAGGTTCATTACAGAGAAGAATCAGAAGACCTTATATTAATAGTAGTTATATAAATTATACTAATACTAATTGGTTTTCTGTATCCAAAAGTTGTGAGTAATAATGAAGAGATGTATGCTTAGCACCAAGATAGTCTCTGCACTTTCTACCAGACAAATATGGTCATTCTTAAAAAACTTCTTGTGAGACATTCTGATTCTAGATTTTTAGTACTTCAGTCAATCATAATTGATCTCTTAGTTTAGGATTATCAACATTATGATGATTTTGATGAGGTTGTAAAGTAAAACCTGAGGGCTTCTTTCATATGTTTAATATACTTTGCTATGAAAATAAATTCTTCTACTTAATGGTAAAATAAATTAAGTAGATTGCAAATATAATTAGGTTACAAAGTAGATTAGTAATATGTAGAAACAACAATTACATTACAAATTTTACAAAAGAAAAAGCTGTAAGAAAATAAAGTAGAAAATTAATAAAAAGTTGAAGAGAGTTTGGTAAGGGTGAGTTTGGAAATGGTGAAGTTACTGAAGTAGTGAAGTTGCATATATTGTAGACGAAATGGGCAAAGTTGCTTAACTTGCAGAATTGTCTGAAATAACATTCTAAATGTCGATAAATTCTGAAAAACCTTTGATTGAATACGCATAAGATGATTAACATCAAATAATTAGTGACCAGTTCAAAGTTTAAACACGCCGATGCAATTGAATATTCAATAGCTAATTTCCTTTACGGATAATTTCCCCCAAAAATATACCATTAACATCGAACAGAATCAATGAAAAAAATAAAGCACAGTTTCCACATTCGAGGGAATTCATAAAAAGGAGTGAACCTGGTCGAGAAGAAAAAAGCCCTAACAGGGATAGAAGGTTTAGCAGCAGAAGCAATAGCATCATCATCTTCTTCCTCTTTCAAATCCACCACACGGGCCTCACTGACGCCATCATTCCATGCTTCGGAGCTGGAAATAGTGTCGTTCCACTCTACTGTGTGAGCAGATGACGACGCGGAAGAAAAGAACTTGGCCAGATTAAAATTATGACCGTGCTGGGTTGAAATAAAGTTGTATCCTGCGGCGACAGCTCCTTTCGGGAACTTACAGCCATGCCGGAGGGCATAGGAGAAGTAAAGAGCAATCGGCTTCGAGTGTGGCGGAGTTTTGAGGCAGTAGACCGGACACACGGGATGTGCTTCGGAGGAGAGAGTGAAGAACGTACGAAGCATACCGGCGTCGCCGAGGACAGCTCTATGGCCGCGAGTTCTGAACATTGTTCCCACCTTCAAATCGGGCGGGCGTTTTGCCGTTTAGGACTTTAGGTGAGGGCGAGCGAAGATGGTAATTTCAATGGTACTATTCCTTCTGGATGGATTTAAAATGTAAATTCTCTAAATTTGTCCCGTCCCTTTTGAAATCATTTTAGGGTAGGTTTCGTATATAGAGCCGAAGTTGTAGCCTAATGTTTGAATTAGAGACTATTGTTCTGAACCATAAACTATAGCTAGTCATTTTTTTCCCACTTAAGTTCAATGCAGCTTGTTGTCCAAACGAGTCTGCTTTCTTGTCGATTGACTGAAATTATTAATTCCAGCCCATAATGAGCTGAATAGTCCCTGCCAAACGTAGTCTTAGTCTTTCAGAATTTGTTCGACTCCTTATTAAGCCAAATACGGAAGTGTTTGAGCTGAAGTATAAAAATATGTAGGGGTCGACAAAAATACCGAACTGACATGATACCGTACCAAACTGGTATGATACTGAATCGAAAAACGAGATTTAAAATGGATCTCGAATTTTTTGTCACCAATCGGACCGTAGCGGTCTAAACAATGATATGACCGGTTCTCATAAAATGAGAATCGGTACCGGACCAAATTAGATCGAAGTATGATTTAATTATTTAAATTTACATTTATACCATTACTTTGACTAGTGCTTTCACACTTTCACCGCCTTTACTAGTTCATAGGAAGCCTGGAATCGGACCGATGTATGGTTTAATTATTTAAATTTGTACTGCTATAGTTTATCTGAAATTTATCAATTGTGTAATACTACCTCCATCACAAATTGGTTTGCAAAATTAACATTTCTTGGTCAAACAGTTTCATTTTATTCACATAATTAGAATGTCAATTTTTAATTATATTTAATTTGGAGCTTGCAACTTTGAAGGAATTTTAATGTATGTAGTTTTTGAATATGTAAATTTTAATTGTTAAATTTTGAATTAATTATCAATAAAGAGAATTTAACTTTAACATTGGTTGATAAAAAAAAATATTGACTTTGCATGTCAATTTGGGATGGAGGGAGTGAAAATTGATAAATTGTGTGGATATTTGAGGGATGACTAAACTTTAATTTCCTCTTAAAAACTTGGAAAAGTGGCATTGTTTGGTTTTGGTATGACATCATACCATCCCATTTGAAAATGGAATCATACCAAACAGGTTTAGATCTAAGACCGAACCGTTTGAATAGTCACGGTACCGTCGGTACGGATACAGGTTCGACCAAATATTGGACCGGACTGGACCGCGTTCACTCCTAAAAATACTTTTAAATGTTCAAAATTATTCCTAGAAACAGTTTTTTAGAATTTAGGAAATCAACTTTTGAATTAGATTTCTACTTCTAAGTCAGTTATCATGTATTTTCAATTTGTTTGTTCACTCATACTAAAAATGTCATGTTTGACCTTCTATTTTTAAATCTTTTGGTTGTTTTCAGAATTTTTTAGATCACGAGGGAACGCTTCACTCATCAGTCATCAGTTTCATTGCTTTGGGTGGCACATGGATTACGTGCTCTTTAAAATTTCTGTCTTTTTATGTGCATGGATCTTGTTTATACTGTTTGAGTAAACACAACAGTTATGGTACAAAGTTGTTTAATTAGAATGGTGTTTGAATGTGCTTCTTAAAAACTTTTAGTGCTCATTCAAGAAGCACATATGAAAGTGCACAAGAAGTGATTCTAAATACTTAAAATTAAGTTTAGAAGCAATTTTTTAGAAGAGGAAGACCAAATTCTGAAAACTGATTATGTTTCTACTCCTAGTCTCCTACTTTTAAAAAAGAAGCAGAAACGGAATCCAAACACAAAGTAATTAAACTATAATTAGGGATGAACTGAACCGGCCCATGAACCAGACCAGCCCACTACTGTGCGGGTCCAGACCAGACCGGGACCGGATGGCCGGTTCCGGGCTTTTAGCCCGTGTGGGCAGGCCGGGCTCGGGCCCTACATTTGTTGAACCGGCCCGGGCGGTTTGGGCCAAGCCCGGTTCTTTTTTTTTTGTTTTTTCAATTTTTTTCTTTTCCTTGGGTAGGGCTAGGTGTTTTGGGGAAGTTTGAGGGGTGGGGGTGGGGGTCAGGGGTTAATTAGAAAGCAGAAAAAAAATTACATAGACCCGGGCCCGACCCGGTTAGGCACGGACCCGGTATCAACCCGGGCCAGTTCCAGGCCCAACAATCTGGAAAAAAAGCCCACTCGGGCCCGGCCCGGAACCGGACCGGCCCAGGTCCATCCCTAGCTATAATATCATAGTCTCATGTTTCATGTTTCAACTCGATTCTAACTATCTAAGCTCCATAATTAGCTTCAAAGACGTCAATCGTTAGAGTGACTCGTTTGATGATCTATAGGCTATAGCCGATTGGTCATTTGACTTCTTATTCTATTGGTCAATTAGATTCAGTGACTAACAATTATTTCGACCAGATTTTGCCTTTGTCACACGGGCCTCGTACTGTCATACAAAAGAGTGCTTGGAGAATTGTGCCAGGCAAAGGAAGCGAAGAGAAATCAACAAATTTAAAAATCATACAAATTTAGCCAGAATGGCCTCAACAACCCCTTTAGCTATTGGATGATAACCATCACACGCCTCAGAAAAGACCCTTGTGGCAAAAACCTTGTCTTCTTCATCTTCCTTACCATCACATTGGACCAGTGCAGTGTAGAGGGGGCGAAGGTACAACATCCTCCCAACTTCCTTGAGAGTCCTCTCCACCTCGCTGTAGTAATCTCTGCACCTTGCTGAGATCGCCAGCTTAAGAAACCCAACCTTCACATCATGATTTCTTGATTCCGAAAGCCTATAGCGAGCATCTAAAGCCCTGATCTGGTGCAAAAAGATAAAAAGACAATACCTTTAACAGTCATGTAAAATAGGTGTTTGACAAAAAAGTAATAAGCAGAAGAATATTATGCTTTTATGCATTCTGAGTAAGACTCGATTTGATCTCTCAATTAAACTAGGTGAAATTCATAAGAATAATCCCTACTTTTAAGGATTCTACAATAATAATCCCTACTCAGAGTGTTCACAAAAATAATCCGAACTAGCAATGATGTTCATAAGAATAAATTGGGGTGAATTCAAATTAATGCCCATTTAATTTTCTCAATCCTTATTCTCACTTTTCTCTTTCCCACCTTCTCAGGTCAAATTCAGATTAAAATCCGTTAAATCTCAACACCATTTCCGTCATATGTGGTTTTCTCTAGGTTGGAACATGAAAGTGTGAACCAAGACAAAGAGTGGTGAAGGTGAAAGTGGAGGTAGGAGTTGGAAGTACTAAATGGGCATTAGTTTGATTCCACTTGAATTTATTGTTGTGGACACTATTGCTAGTACGGATTATTTTTATGAACACTCTCAGTAGAGATTATTATTGTAGAATCCATAAAAGTAGAGATTATTCTTGTGAATTTCACCATTAAACTATTTCTCCAATTGGTCCCTCTACTCTCTTTTCTACTAGATCGGGGAATTTTGTCCTTGGGTATGCAATTTTGACGCAATCTACTCCTCTGCTTCCTTATGCAGATAGACTAAATTGGTCTAAATTACATACTTGGAACCAGATTGAGTTTAAAGTGGGTCTATATGAATAGACAATGAAACAATATGTGTGTAGGTTCAAGTAAAAAAGATCCTTCTCAAGAACAATGAGAATGAATCTAGTGCATCGAATTTGAGATTTAAGGACTCTAAATATGCCAGCAGTGCAGTAAGTGGGAATAAAAACGCAGCAGCAATACAGAAAACAAACCAATATTTCTGCCACCGCATAAATGTGCACCATTTAAACGTAAAGGTGCATCATTTTGCGGTAAAGTGCAGACGTGAGCAATTTGCAAGGGAAGCACCCTTTTATAATTGCATCTAATGTGTGCATTTAAGCATGTATGGTATAGACAGTAGACACACACATATCTATGTGTGAATATTATTGTGTGTAGTGTGCATGAATGAGGACTACATTTTGACCAAATTTTTTATTCAATCACCGACTTGAGTCGAATAAAAAGTTATGAACCTAAATGGATAGTAAACAAAATTGGGAAACTAAATCAGGTGATAACTCCGAAGTTAATCAATTTAAAGATCTTGAAATTAGTTCAAAAAAATTTGGAAAAAATACCCTGAATATCATTCTTTCAAATTCAGATCAATAGAACCAATTTCAATAAGACGAAACAAAAAAATTATATAACTAAAATAAGTTACTTAAAAAAAATCCCCCAACCTGTAAAGCTTCAACAGATTTCGGTAAATTGTCAAGGTAAAGCTCCCATTCCGGTCCCTGCCAGTCAGCAACTTCATCCTCGCTTGGCATCCTACCCAGTTTGAATTCATTAGCCAGAGATACAATCTTTGTGTACAGTTCAGAAACCGGTTCCATTGCATCTGAGGGTATGCCAGTACCCTCGGTCCACATCTTCAAATCAATTCCACCCTCTATTCCAGGTAATTTTTCTTTCAGAAAATCAAGAAACATATCAGTGTCAATTGACTGAAACTTGAAGGTGGCAATGTATTTTTTAATAAATTCATCAAAGGCAGGTCTTCCAACCTGAGCATAATAAAAATAGAGAGCCATGTGTTAATTCCTTTTTGTGAAGTCACAAAACCATACTAAGACCCTATTTTACAAGGCCATAGATAGGCAAGGAGAGCTAACCTGGGGCATGCCCAGCCCAAGTTCCACAAAATCTTTTGCTTTTATATGTAAAAGATTTTGTGAAAAAATTATTAAAATTTATAAGAATGGTTTTATTACACGACACAACCCAACTTTCTCTCCGGCTATGCCACTACAGTTTGGTGATGCTTATAATGCTTCAAGTGGCCCAATTTGCTGAATTTGTGACAAGAATGGTTTAATCTTCTGATTTATGTAAACCATATTTAAAATATTTTTCTCAAATAAAATAAAAATATTAGTATCTGAAAATGAATGCTGAAACGGCACTTTCATTATTTCAGGCAAAATATTACCTATGTAGCGAACTTTGTTAGATTTTTGGTGAAAATCTGGCTTATAACCTATAAAGAGTATACCAAATGGCTCCAAAATCTAAATAATCAAAAGGAGTATAGGGGTTTTATACTTGTCTCTCAATCCGCCATAAGAACTGGAAGCCTTTCTCATATGGGACTTGAGAGTACACATTATCGGGGTCAACCCCTGCCTGGTTGGTTTTCAGCTTTGTGAATTCCAAGTTATCCTTGAACCTTTTCATTTCCTCAACAAGTCCCCTCCACCCACGACCAATACTCAGTGCCTTCCTGTCCTCTCCTTGCACTACTTCTACAATCCTCCGTTCCGCATATGTTGTGAAACCCTATTAAAAGCACGAAACCTTGTAAGTTACAAAAGGACATTATAAGAAATAATTGTATTTATATTATTATAGCAATTAAAATTACTAAGTTTGAAAGAAAAGATCCTAGATAGTAAAATTTGAAACAACAAGGGACTAAAAGTGCAATTTTACCTTACAAGAAAAAAGTTTACATCATCTTTCTTGTAACCTTATAAAAAGTAGTCGAAAAACACAAAAGACGTATATGTCTGCCATGACTGAAAATGCATCATTAAGTGCCTGTTTGGATAGGTGGTTTTGGAGGGGTTGGATGGGAAGTCTTTGGAGGGCTTATTCAATACTACTATTTTGAAAAATATGTGAATATAAAATTGCGTTTTTGAGATTTTGTAGAAAATGAATGATTACCATAGTATGTAATCATATAACTACCGCCTTTTATATAGAGTAAGTCCGCCAAAACATTCCCCTCCAACCCCCTCCGACCAAAAAGACCATAAAGTTTAAGGCCACATAACTATGAGAGAGACTACCATTTACCACTAAAGATCGAGTCTTGTTACTACAGTGCTCAGAGAAAATGAGAATGGATCAAGAAAACGCCATCCAAATATAATATCACGCAAGTACAATACTAACTGCACTATAAGCTAAAACCTAACAGCAGTATAACTCCCGTGTGAACAACTATAAATCTGAGTAAATTCCATCTAAATAATCTGCAAATCGTTAACAATATAATACAACATTACCTCATTTAGCCAAAAGTGATTGTTGTTTTTGTTAGTGATCAGATTTCCTGTCCAGCTATGAGCAAGTTCGTGAGCCACCACCTGTGCTCCACTAGACTCTCCCTTGATAACAGTGGGTGTCAAGAAGACCATCCTCGGGTTCTCCATTCCTCCATACGGGAAACTCGGAGGCAAAACCAACAAATCAAACCTCTCCCAATCATAAGGCCCAAAAAGCCGCTCTCCCACCCTGATCATCTCCTCAGTACTAGCGAACTCCTTGGCGGCCGCATCTAGCAGAGCAGGTGCTGCCTCTGAGTAGACCCTCGTCCGTGGCCCTACCTCCCTGAACCCTAATTCACCAACTGCGAAAGCAAACAAATAGGGCGGAATCGGCTGCTCCATCACAAATTCCTCCACGACCCGATCATCCGCACACCAAATCGCATCTTCGCACGCTCCTCCGGCCTCCGCTGGGAAGGGCTGCCGCCTCTCCACATGCTTCGCGGACATCACGGCCGAGAGCTGGCGCGGGATGTTCAATTTCGCAGAGTATTTGATCCTCGCGGCGGGAGTGTCCTGACAAGGGAAAACGGACCTGGCGTGGATGGACTGGCATTGCGTGTAAACGAAGGGGTGTGTTTTGTTAAACGTCTGCGGCGGCGAAAGCCACTGAAGGGCGGAGCTAGAAGGAGTTGTTCCAGAGAGAATCAATACTTGGGATTGGTTCGAGAGGGAGAAGGTGAGAGCTTGGCCGAGGATTGGGTCCAGCGGTGAGGGGGAGAAGGAGAAGGGAATCCGGGAAAGCGAGACGGGGTCAAGAACATCGGAGATGGAGAGGGAACGGGTGTCGAGAGTGAGGGGGCCGGAATAAGGCGCAGCCAGAGAGATGAGTGTGGCGGCGGAGATGGTGGACGACGGGAAGTCGAAGTATAGAGTGAGGGAGACGTGGGTGGTGAGAGGGTGCGCGGAATCTGTGAAGGAATGTGGATCAATCGGCGCCATGTCTGACAAATTGCGCAGCTCTTTTGTGTACGACGTGTGGACAGTCCCAGTAAAAATACACACTGGTTGATGATTGAGAAACGGTTGTAAAAAGGAGTACAACTTATGGTGTTTGGAACTGATTCTGCTTCTGCTTCTTTTTTAAAACAGATGCAGAATCAGAATCAGTTTTCAGAAGCTGGTACACCCCAGCTTCTAAAAAAACCAATTCTATGAGTAAATTAGAGCATCAGAATCACTTCTGCATTTTCACCCAAACACTCCAACTTCTGCTTCTGCTCCCTGAAGGAGCAGAAGCAGTTTTAAGAATCGGATCCAAACACCCCTCATATATACTCAAATAGGACTCCAACTTTATTAACTCCTAAATAAGACTAAATTTTTCGTCCATTTCAAAATTATCCCTAATATCCCTGGACGCTTTCCCTTTCTCTTATCCTCCCTCTTCCGGACAAACTCACCCGCACACTTCAGCCAAACCTTTTGCCGAAGAACGCACGCAGCACAGAAAGCTTAATGAGATAAGGTGGAGAAGAGGGACAATCATGCAGAGCCAGCCAACGCGGCGGCGGTGAGCGCGGCGTAAGCGAGTGCGGTAGTAGCGGCAGTCTCAACTCTCGAGTCGCGTGGCAGTCCTTTCTCAACGGCGGCGACGGTGAGCGGTCCGGCGGTTCAGCGGTGCGGTGGTCCGGCGATGCAGCGGTATGGCGGGAGGCCCTGATGCATTATCTCTTCTCCTCTTCTTCTCTTTTTCTTCTCTTTTAGATCTGGAAATGTCTTGTTCTCTTTTAAATATGGCATCTAGGAATGCCAACTTTGCCTACGTTTCTTCCTGTTTTCTTCACTTTTTTATTCTCTTAGTCAGTTAGTCTTTTTTCAGTTAGTCTTCAACATTGTCACACTATTCAATAGTGCTCTGTACATACAAACAAATCGAAAGCAAAGAAATAAGGAATGTATTTTATTGTCATTGACATTCTTATGACATTGTCATTGACATTCTTATGACATTATTATTGACATTCTTATGACATTGTCATTGACATTCTTATGACATCGTTATTGTCATTCTTATGACATTGTCATTGACATTGTTTTTATTGACATTCTTATGATATTGTCATTGACATTTTATGACATTGTCATTGACTTCTTATGATATTGTCATTGACTTCTTATCAATGAAGGAGAGGAGAAGAGATAATGTCATTGACTTCTTATGACATTGTCATTCTGGCCACTCTTCTTGCCAACAGGCCATCCAGGACTTACTTCTTTCATAGCAATCATAGCCAGATGCTGAGATATAGTAGGATCGTACTTTTATGGATAGAAATAAATCCTCCGTAGCTTGGATCTTAATCTGCCAAATACATAGAATAGTTTTTCCCTAGGAAGGCGGGAGTGCTTAAGACTGGGAAAGGAAAGATGTGCAATAAAGTGCGACGACGCGAAGCTGTGGAGGCGGCGCGAAGCAGCGTCGGTGACTCGGCGATGAGGTAATGCAACAATGATGATATTCAGTTGCGGCGAAGTCCAAGGCTGGAGGTCGGTCGGTTGTATTCTATTAAAACAAGCAGGGGTCACAAAATCGATGACGAAGATGGCATAAGGTTATTTTTGTCCTTGCACGTATAGAGTAGTCCTATGTACGGTTTAAAAAACTCCGGGTCCTATTTAAAGTTCAGCTCTATGTTTTACTCTTATTTATGTCTTAATCCCTTGATGATTGATGAGTGTTTTGGAAAAATGTGTTAAAAAATTGCATTAAATGGTCATTTTGGGGCAATTATTTGAGTGAGGTCCACTTCCGATTTGGGTCGGGTCAAAGTGGTTTCGGATTGTCCTTGTTAAGGGCTACAATTCGATATGTGGTACACTCAAAACGGATAACGGGTGAATGAGAAATTGATTCTCGAAGTTCACTCGTTGAAATGGAAAAACTGGGAAAAATGATGAGTTTCTAGTGTGTTTTATCCCACACCGAAAAACTCAAGGGATTTTCACCCCCTTATAAAGGGAAGCCTCTTTTAAGGAGTTAAGATTCCTAAAGGGAAAGGCTCTCTCTTACGCGCAGGGGGGTGCCGATCAAATCCCGAAACGGAGAAGAAAAACCGCGACTCGTGTGCGCGGGCGACATGCGGACACGAATGCCGTCCAAAAATCTATCTCTCAAGAGATACGGTTAATTTTTGTTTTCTTCCCGAAACGTTTATTTTTTCCCCAGAAGTGCTCCGGACACGTTCAACGTTCAGGTCCATTAACACCCCATTTAACACACAACAAATCCTCCTATAAATAACTGGCAGGTGCTTTGCAACAAACACACGGTTTGACAACGCACAACACTTTCCTCACGTTTTCTTGAGATAAAAACTCTTCCAGCTACTCCCAAAATTCCTTATGTGTTCATACTTGGTTCTCGTTCGCTGGAACTCTTGTTTGTGTGCTCAAACATTAGTTCGTAGTCATCGTATCCTGGGAAATGATTGTTGCAACGCTCCTAGCACCGTGGGAGGCAACAAATACGTTTTAAGGAAATCGTGCGTAGCACGAGCTTTGGCTAATTCTGCTTCATCTCCTTTCTTGTTTTTCTCTAGTCATTTTATTTAATTAATTTATTTTAATTAATTTTCTTTATTTTCCGAAACACACCCAACAGAGTGTCCACCCTACCGCATTTTAATGAAATTATTCAATGAGTAAAAATTGAAAATAATAATACGGGCCTTCTCCAAGCACCTCCCAAATTTCTAAGCGCACCCTTTTTACTCTTGAGACGGACAATTCTCCCCTTTCATATGCACATCACGTTTTTCTTTAATAATTCATTTGTTTACATTATATGAAGTACTCCATATCTCATGTTCAATGAGCAATAGTGGATTAGCACTACTTGTTCCTTTCTCCACCCCAAGTCCCTTCTTATTTTTTTGCTTACTTTTTTTATTTTAAAATTTTTCTTGTTTTAAATTAAGGTTGTTGAATTTATTTACCTTTTTAACAAAAACTAGAGGTAATCAATACAGTAACATATCTATATATTAATAACACTAAAAGAAATAAGAAACAAACATATCTTTATTTTAAAGAACACCTCCTCATTTTCACATAGGGATGGAAACGAGGTGGATCGGAGATGGTTATACATATAATCACACTCGTCCATCAAATAATTTCCTTGGCTCGTAACAATCCTATTAATCAATGAGTAATTTTTTTTCAAATCATAACTGCCCCGACAGGTAATAAGTATAACCACTGGTAACCGCTCTACTAAATGGGCCATATAGTCATTGATGTTTTAATATAAAATTACTATTTTAAAAGGTGAAAATGGCATCGTCTAGACGATTTCAAACTTCATATGCCACTTACAAATATCAACTTTCAGACTTTTTTAACTTTTAAGTGTTTAGCAAGTATTATTATTAATTGATAATTATGAAATAACTACTTTTTATTTTAATTTTGTATACAATTATATGTTTATTATTGTTAAAAGCTTGACCGGTTTTATAGCGTTGATCGGGTTGACCCAACTGGGTCTGAAGTGACCCGTGACCCGGTCACGCGGCGGGGTTGCTCCCACATCTGGTTTCTTAAACATAGGTAATAGGGTGGACATGTATAAAACAGTAACTACCCCGTTATCCATCAGATCGGTCACAATTACCAATCTCTAATTAACTAACTCTTAATTGCACAAAGTCCTTAATTTTTTTATTAAGATTTAATTATTTCTATAATTAAGATTTAAATTCATACATTTTTTAAACTACAAAGGTATTATTGATCGGCACCCACTATTCTTATATAAAAATGTTTGTTTTGACTTATTAACTAAGTAAGCTGCATTAACTAAAGATGCATTTTAGTGCTCCGTATAAAAAATCTTAACAAGGATCTTTTGGTCAACTATAGGTGCGCATAGTTAATTAGGGAGGTGTGCCAAGCAATCCCCTAATAATATCAAAAAAAATGTCTCCCTTGTTAATAATCTCTATCGATTATTTTTGGGTGGTTTTAATTATAGGGGTCATTTTCTAAAAAATAATCTCTAATCCGTTATAACCAGGTACAGTAAGTCAATTTTAAATGTGAACTATGTGTAATCTTTAAAATAATCGCAACTAAAGTTGAACTTTTTTATTAATCCCAAATATCAACTCTTAATTTTCGGAAGATATAAAAATGTTTTTATGAATTTCCAATCTAAATGTTTCTAAACATGTATAAACAATTACGAATATTATACAAATGTATCGAAATTAAATAAAATTTGTTGGTCATTTTTCAATTTATTTTAACTAAAATTTTATTTTTCCTTTTTTCCAATTTGTTTTTTATGCCATCTTAATTCTAATAATCTAAACTTTCAATTTCTTCATTTTAATATTTCTAGTTTCTTTCTATTTTCTTTATGTTATATTATTACTACATATGTCCTACTAACATTGGGACGGAAGAAAGTGGCACGGTTATTATGAAAAGTGGGTTTATGCGATTGATATTGAATTGATAAAGTAAGAATGATTAAGAGCCACACAAACTTTACCAAATATGTTATGGGATAATCTTAGTGGATTTTCTGAAAAGGTAAAATGAGACAATCTAAGGGTGTATTGTATTAGGAATTAGTGGCAAAGTTTTAAAAGTTCATGGATTTTAAAAGTTTAGGTGTATTCAATGTGAACTTTTAAAAGTCTACAAAAGTCTAGGTGTATTCAATGTAGACTTTTAAAAGTCTATAAAAATCTAGGCATATTCAAATTTCCATTCATTCTTATTGACTTCTAAAATCACGGATTCTTGTGGACTTTTAACTCATTCTTAGTACATTATTTCTCTGCAATTGTCACTTCTCCTCACCAAAGATTTATGTGGACTTTTTTAGTTGTTTTCTACTCGACACAAGTACGCTTTGATCTGATTGCATATTTCATTAATTATTTACTCGGGATCACAAACCGGCCAACACGTCCTGGACTAGTAACGGCCGTGAGGTGGGTATCAAGATGGTCTCAGTATGCAAGATTTAAATTTTGATTTTTTCTATCATTTTACGATAAATAAAGTTGAACAAAGAGATTCTAA